ACTAGGGTAATACTGATACAAGCAAGGCAATTACACAGGTTGAATAAAAGAGACAGTCCAGAAACAATTCCAAATATATACAGAAATTTAGCAATTACAGAAATGGATGGCATTGAAAAGGAGAAAAAAAAAAGAAACAGAACAATAAGCCAGCCATGTAGCAAAAAAGTTTAATTATGAGCCTGCATCACACCAACACACAGTCCATTCCAGAAGGACTGAACACCTAAATATTCAAGGCAAAACTTGACAACTTTTAAAGGAAACTGTAGAAGAATAACTTTATGATTTTAAGATATTGAAGAATTTCTCAGACACATCACAGCCCCTGTAACTCTCCCATACATATATCATAAAAATTAAGAAAATTGATCACATCAAAATTATAAATATCCTCCCCAAAAGACAATACATAAAGTTAAAAGGTATATACATCATAGGCTCTCAAAAGATATTTGCTAACACGTGGAAACCAAGTTACTGTATCTAGATAACAGGCATCCCAAGAGTCTTAGTGTAGGTTTTAGCTTGAATCACTTCAGAAGTGCAAGTGCTACTAACTTACATTAACAATATTTGAAAAGTTAAGTATTTCTGTTTCAAAGTATTGATATGTTTCTTCTTAAAATTCAACATAACCACTGTCTTGGGCCACACATTACTCTAGTTGATTTTCAAACTTCATAAAAACTTTACTCTGCTGTCCCTCGGTGATAGAATTGCATTTATAGTCTCGGCTTTAAGATCCTCCAGAGATGGAGGTCTGGATGAACACACGGCAGACAGAAAACTGTCCCTTGCCTTCCTCTCTCATTGTTCCCTCAGCTCTCTGTGTGTCCCTGTCCACTGCGCCCACACTTTCATTCCACGCGGAGCTCTGCTTCATCATCTCCTTTGGCATAATTCAGTTTATTCCCATTTGCATCAGCCCTACTTTAGCAGCTTACCCCCACTACACTCCATACTTAGAATTTTCTATCTTCTTTCTTAGCAAAACTCCCTTGTCCTAGGTTACATGTCCTCCAGGCCACATGCCATGCTACTTTAGAAAGAGTAACAATGCTAATATGTATGAATAACATAACTTATTACCTACCCCATCCACAAAGTGACAAATTAACATTTAGAATTATAGTTACCCAAAGGAAAACACTAACACTGGAAAATTTCAGATAAACTTGTAGGAAGATGGGATTTTTGGACAGGTGACTTGTCTTTTAATGTTCTTCAAATCCCCTAGGTCAGTGGTCGGCAAACTCATTAGTCAACAGAGCCAAATATCAACAGTACAACAATTGAAATTCCTTTTGAGAGCCAAATTTTTTAAACTTAAACTATACAGGTAGGTACTTTGTTATTAACTTAATTAGGGTACTCCTAAGCTGGCCTTTGCTAAAAACATCCTCAATCTGAGGGGTCGACCTCAGCGAACGTACCCCCACTTCTTCTAACGCCACTTCTTCAAAATAGACTTGCTCAGGCCGAAAACTGACTTCTTCGCATGGGCCACGAAGTTTCAATTGCACTGTACGTGCGCGCCCGCACGTGGTATTTTGTGAAAGAGCCACACTCAAGGGGCCAAAAATCCGCATGTGGCTCGCGAGCCACGGTTTGCTGACCACTGCCCTAGGTGTTTGCTGGTGCACTGAAAGTGACATCCAGTACTCCACCCAGGGCTGATGGTTGGTTTGTCACACAAACACGTAACCAACATGTTCTGTGCTCTGGTCTCATTTCCTGTTTCAGGTCTTAGTCACTTTACAACATGGTATTTGGGCAAATTAGAGCTGAATCAAGCAATGGAAACAACCTTCTTTGGTAAGGCTTTCTCTGGGAAACAGAACTGGGAGAAGCAGCTGGTGAATGTCACTTTAGGTCAACTGTGATGGACAGACAACATGGAACACCCTCAATGGGCCCTGTGCTGTCCACCCCGGGCAGTGGGCAGTGATGCAGGTGTGACTGAGGCTGCTCTTGTAAGTCGTGACTACTGAACACTGCTACTGTTTTGATGAAAAGAGCCCTGTTAATCTGCATATTAACAAAAAGCAGAAAGATAGACAAGTTACTTCTTAGAAGAAGCAAGAAAGACATTTTCCCCTTGAAACTCTGCAAGCTACATCTCTGATGGGAAATCCTCCCCACCCAGTACACACACACACACACACACACACACACACACACACACACAAATGGAAAAACCAAGCGAAAAATCCCTTCATCAGAGTCTGTGGCTTGCTCTCCTTTACTCCTTGCTACACATGAGTATGTGAAAGTGCACCACACTCAGATGTGCAGCCTGATCGAGTGATAATCTCCTATAATGTGCCTCTATTTAAAGCCGCAAACAGATGGAGGGTTTATGAGCAAGGCTGGTAAAAGTAAAAGCAAATGATTGTAATAGTTGTACTTTTAATAGGATTCCCCACAATCTAAAACATTATTCCTCAAGGAACAAATTGTTCTATAAAGTTATGTTCCTTAGGAAGAAGACAGTCCGCCCTGACTTTGCTGAGGCAACAGAAGACTCCAGGATGCAGGTCGCTCTCAAGTCCGATCAGCATCCGGGGAGAGAGGACTCAGGGACACCATGATCCCCAAAGAAAACGCTTGGTGGAACAGGGTAAAAAGCAGAAAGACCAAGCGTAGAAAAAAGCATATGAAAGATGTATGAGTTTTGATTGAACTCATTACCTTCTAATCCTCTACTTTGTAAAACAAGGTTTGAGACATTTCTATGGAGTTAAGATAAGCACACAGCTTGGCTTCCTTCTCTACCAGTGCAGACCAATAACTCCAGGCCAGCAAATCTTGCTTAACAAACAGCGGAATCGCCAATGACCCAACATGAATTCATTACCATATTCCTTTTTAAGAGAAACAAAACTCACTACAATCCTATCATTAAGATGAATATACTGTAGTGATGGCTTTTGCGTAAATTATAATTAAAGCTAATCTTAATTAAAGTTATTACACCATTTTGGAAGAACATAAACAAGCCAAAGAGAGGGAAACAATGTGGTCAATAACTCACTCCAAAAATATTTTTTGCCTCCAAAGCTCTCACTGAGGGAGACATTCCTGCGTATGATACAAATGGTTCTGACATTAAGAAAAGTAAACAAGTGAGAAAAATAAAGATGGAAAAATTCTGTGGTCAGTTCACAAGTGCTTTTTTATTGTTTGAGGCAGGGTTAAAGCCTTTTATAAAGACAAGGATATATGTGCCGCGAGATTGGATATGACATGGGACTAGTCTAGCTGCCCTTGCGCAGAACTCTGGCTGCCCATAATATGCCAAGGACAAAACAAAGAACTAGGGTGGGACCCAATGCAGCTAATTTAAAGCATTATCCCAATGCTGTTTTATAGATCAAAAACAAAAAAAAAGGTACTTGACTCTGGTTATTCATGGATCTGAGAAATAAAGGCAGACATTCAATATCCTCCCTTAATGGTCTTGAGGATTTTAAGCTAAATATCTGATGATCAAAGGTTACATAATCTACAAGAGGGACTCTGGCCAGGCCCCATGCAAGTCATCCAAGGACTCTGTTGACTCAGTACCTGAGTCCATGTAAATGGGCTAGAACTGAGCAAACAGGTTCTTCTTGGGTGTTTCAGGGATCCTGACTCCCCAAACAGTTTAACAATAGCAACTCTAGTTATTTGGTACCTATAACTAGAAGGATTCTCTTTCAGGTTTTTCTGTCCTCAAACTAAACAAAACTGGGAGATACAATGAACACCAGGTCTAAATAGAAGCAAAAATAAATGCTGTCATGTCAGAAGCAACCAACCTTTCCAGTATCTTCCAGAGCGATTTTATTGCTGTACTAATATATTAAATGACACTAAAGCCCCCCAAACAGTCTGATCATGCTTATTTTCCTTGAAACACTGGTGCTGGAATATGGTCCAAGACGCACCAGCTATGGATTTAATTTCTGAGAGGTCCTGAGAAAGATACCAAATTGAAAGGATTTGTGGCATCCATTAAAACTGTTTGGTCTGATAAACATTTTCTATAGTCTTCCCTTCTCTCTTATCTTCTGATGCACCACTTTCTTTTATCATCTTGCTACCTTGAAATAGCACCCAAAGGAGCAAGCTAGCTCCAAACACAACTATGGCCATAGATATAGTAGGAGGTATGTGTGGTTAGAAATGAATGAGTAAATGAATGAATGAATGAATGAGTGAATGAATGAATGAAGGAATTAATTAATTAAAAATATTAAAAGTCCTTGATATACCCAGAACCTGGTGCTGGAAAAGATGCCTGACACTGCCAAGTATTCAAGGCAAGACATGGATTTAGAAATGAACAGAACAAGGTCAATTCCATGCTTTTGTAGTCAGGGATTTAGGGAAAGCTGGTTACTCCAATTCAGAAAGTGTGACAACATGCAACTGGCCATACATGAATGGCCTGGCTGAGAACGTACACCTTCTGCTCTCTGAAAAACTGCAAACCTGTGATAAAGATACTAAAGAATGGGGAGGGGCATGGAGAATATGAGATAAATACTTACAAGGAATAAAAGAGAGTGGGCTTCCTCAAAACGGCAACTATTTCACTAAAAAGAAACCCCCAGGACAATGGTATCAGAGGGATCTCTACTCAGCAGGCAAGCTGAAGACAGTCTCTCTCACTTGATTACAGCCACTGAGCATGCTCACGGAGGCCCCAGGTGTGACCTCTGCTCCCCCGTGAGCCGCGGAGGGCCAGGCAATCTATCATGGTGTTCATCCTGTCAGCCCTGGTGCATCGCCGCTGCTGCCTGTCACCCTGGTGGATGAGACCTGCTTAAGGGCAATCATGTCAATCTCTATGTGACCACTCAGTCTAAGGCAGAAAGATGATGTTGACAGGCCTGGTGAAGTCAGCAGAAGGTACCAAAATCTGAAGTGGTAGCCTTCCCACAGAGATTCCGTGTGGGCATTGTCTTTTTTCTTCAGCTTTTTCTTTATTTCTGCTTTCCCTTTTTGCTTACCGGTAAATCCTCATGACATGGGCTAAGGCGTACAGAACTTGCCTTCAGAGCTGGTCATCCCGGATAAACCTGTTGCCCTCCGAGTTCTTCCCATAGTAAACATAGCGACACTTCCCCAGGACACCTGCAAAGAGAAGGAGACACATCGTTACAAACCACAGTCCAGCAGGAACCGAATAGGCGCTGCAAAGCAAAACACAACACAGTCCAGATCCCACGGGTGGCAGCAGAAGGAGTAAGTCCCACAGGGAAGGACCCTCCCTTCTTGTCCTCACCGTTGACATTCAAATGAAAGGTCAGCAGAGCACAGGCGCCCAGAATATCGTGGTTTCCCCCATGATGTCGCTTCCACATTTTAGAGACTTTTCTAGTTTGGCCAATTACTCCTCAAAAGAAAGCATAACCCTCTCATCTCTCCAGGTTCCCTTAGCAGTTTCTAAAAATGGAAAATTAAGAATTTAAAGATGGGCCCAGCCCAAGCAAAAGATGTGGCACAGTCTTCCCTGAGTGCGACTCTTTTCAGTCCTCTGTCATGAGTCAATATTAATACCTTCCTAGAAGGACCTTCCAGTTCCCAGGAGGCATCAAGCCTTAAGGGGATGAGTAAGGAAGAGGGTGGTGCTGACCACATGCCACATGGAAAGTCACAAGAGCCTGGACGTTAAAGGCTCCTTCTCACAGGATGAACTGTAGTCTCAGGTAGGAATACATTTGATTTTCTTTTTTAAAAAATGTATTTTTTATTGATTTCAGAGAGGAAGGGAGAGGGAGAGAGAGAGAAACATCAATGATGAGAGAGAATCATTGATCGGCTGCCTCCTGCACACCCCCACACTGGGGATAGAGCTCGAAACCCAGGCATGTGCCCTTGACCGGAGTCAAACCCGGGGCCCTTCAGTCCTCAGGCCAACACTCTATCCACTGAGCCAAACCAGCTGGCCTGATTTTCATTTTCAGTTTTATTTTAAATAATTGTATAGCTCCATATACAGCTTTCCTTTCACTCAAGGAAGTTATGGGAGGATTTAACTATGAAAAATACCCTTAGAATAAGTTCAAACCTTTTAATCAACTCAATATTTATTTTAAATATCCACAAGAAATCACCTACCATAGTTATTATAAAAGCTTTGTAGGATTATTAATGAAAAATAAGTTTTTCCAAGAAAATATTTAAACTACAATTTGATTTTTTGCCACCTTGTTTTTTCTTCTAATTTTAGAAAAACTTAAAAATCAGCTCCACAGCTGTCTTGTTACTAATAGCACTTGAGCCTCTGATGTGTGCATAACCAGAAAGAAAAAAACAACAACAACAAAGAAATGTCCATAAAACATTAATTCATGAGCCACAAATCAGCCTATCAAAATAGCTACCTACCTATATGTATGATTTTTCCCATCAGTGTGGTAGTAGGAAACCAACAATCACCAGCTATTTTTCATTTGGGATAAATTAGCATTTGAAATTATCCAGGTCCTTCACATCACAAGTTCTAAGTAGTAAATATTTGGTGATTGTATAAGAGATATTTCTCCATTGCAGAACTTTAAACCTTCTTCTTAATTAAGGATTAGAAAATGACTCTGAAACTTTTAAGGACAGGGCCGATGCTCCTAGGTTTGAATGACTTGGGACAAAGCTGGGAATTGCTGGGGTCACAAAATCTGAGAGTTGGTGAGAGCATGATACTCTCCCATGGCCTCCAAACTGGTCTTGGTGATGCTCTCATTCCTTCTACTTTTTACCACATTCCCATGAGCAAGTTTGCTGTGGCCCACACTTCCCCCTTGGCCACACTTTCTTCTCAGCTTCCTATCCCCAGTTTCTGTTTTTGAATTTGGGTCCGGTGCCTGGAAACACTGAGCTTGGGTCAAACCTCCCTGAACCCTTTCTTCAGGCCTAGATGATTCTTTTAGCTACTGCCATTGAGCTCGTCTCTTCATTGGGCTTAACTGTGTAGCACCTCGGGTGGGACTGACATTGTTCCCAATGCCCAGACCTGTCTGTGGGCTTGGCTGGTTAGAATCTGTTCCAGGAATAGCATCCCCTACAGGCCTGGGTGGGAGTGTCGCAGATGTTTCTGAAAATTCCACAAGGGGCTTCCTTAAACATAATTGACTCAAATTCACCCATGAAGAATCTGGAAGAATGAGGCAGAGAGATGTGAATATCTCTCTACAGCACCAGGAAAGCATGCATTTTTATACAAAAAAAGAAAAAATGGATAGGGCTGTCAGATATCATAAAGAGCACAGTCTTGCTCTTGAGTAAAAGAATGCAAGGCAGACACACACACACCACACTCCAGTGGGTGTGTTCATTCCCTCCTGCAAACTTCCCAGCACATTCAGATTGGATTTCTTTCCTCTGCCCTCTCCCTATGGTAAACCCCAGCTCCGGATCTGGCCTAGATGAAAACTGGGCCTCAGATGCCATCCAGGAAATAGGCTGTTACTCCTGGAACATGGGCCCTGACGTGGAGGAAGGTGACATGTTCTGAGCCATGTTCCCCGGTCCTTCTCTCTGGTTGGCATTGAGAAAAGTCCTGTTTTAGGGGCTGCTTTGGGCCTGGAAGCAAGTCGGTTTATAGGCATCCTGGCGAGAGAGGCTGCCTGATGAATGCAGGAGACGCAGGGAGGTGTCAGAGCTTGGAAAACGAGGCAAGGACATGAGGTATTAATATTGTCAATGATCTCTTGACGGGAAAACAGATACCACACTCACTGTCAGATTTAAATAGACACCAAGTGCATTAATGACAAAAGGGCAGACTTCAAACAAAGGGGTTGTGTGGCAGGGAGCAGGGCTGGTCTCTGTGCGGACAATACCCTGATCTGAACAGACACTGTCAGGGCGGGAGACAGGCCCAGGATTGTGTGTGGTGACAGAAAACAGAGATGCTGACAGAGATACCAGCACCATATTATGCCAAGGATATTCTAACGCTGTCTGTGGCTCTAACAAAAGCTGACATCACTCCCTATCACTGGGGTCTCCTCCACCCGCTCCTGCAGACTTTCTCCCCAGACGTCTTTACAAAACTCGCTGTGGCTGTAAAGGTCCTGGCAGCCCTGTCTGTGAGAGCGCTGGGGTCAAGGGGCCTACGGATGACCTCAGTCCATAAATCTGGACTTTGCAGGAGGAGCCCGCTCATCCCCCGATACCTTGGCTACTGAGGGTGATCAGAGTGCCAACATGTGAGGAGCTGTCACCTTGAATAACATCCTTAAAGGGAAGCCACTCAGTCTGTGGGCTGCCTCAGGACAGCACAGGGACCGTCCAGCAGCCGAAAATTCAATCCAGCTGCCCTGCTGGTGCTCCTCTGGGAAGAGAGGTGGTCCGGCCAGTGACAGTCCAAATCAGGCTGAAATTTTTAAACTTGAACCGCCTACAATTACACAAGTGTCATCTCCATTGAGACTCCTATCTGACTGAGCGCACATTTGGGAAGTGATTACCCCCCAAATGGAACTTTTGTGCTAAATAAATTAATAAATGAGATTAACAAGGAAGAAAATAAAGCCACAGCCCCATAGGTGGCCATAGCACTTTATTTATCACGAAGGTTATTTGTAATAGGAGGATTTGCTCAGAAGTTAAGGCAGGTGGTAGCGTGTGACTCTCTTTCCTGCTCTCCCCATGGCCCCTCCTCCTGTCACAATAACTGCCTTAAACTGTGACAATTACTGAGGGAACAACTTGCTGGCAGAGGCATTTTGTTGGGGAGGCGCGCAGGCTGGGACTCAGTAGGCGGTGGTCACTACCGCGGTGGTGACTCAGTAGGCGGGGGTCTCCCTGTGCATCTCCAATGCATCCGCTTGTTTCTATCTCCTCGAACTCCTGTGTCTGGGGACTGGAGGGGGAACAACATTTAGTGGCATATGAAGTGTTTTCGTTCTCTGGGGAGAAATTAATTGGCCATAATAAGTGAAGCAAACTTGCCATGCATCAGGCCGGCCTGTAGCCATCGGCGTGTGGTTCCTTTCCGGGGGCCCTAAAAAAATGACAGTGTGTTGTCCCCTGGGAAATCCTCTCCTGCCAAATGAGACTCCTAATTTTTCTTAAGTAGCCAGCTCCGCCATCGCCATAACTTCTCACAACTATAATTATGGGGGGAAATGTTTGGGGAAGAATCTGCTTTAAAGAGGTCCTTTATCTTTTAAATGTTTTCCCCTCTGGAATGAATGTTCTAATTATGCAGGTTAAGTTATGACCTTGGAGCTGCCTCTCTCCTTGGCTGCAAGGCTGCGAGGGCAGGAATGGTTCTGGAGACACTGCTGGGGAGAACCCCGAGTGTGCGGGGTGGCGGGGGTGGGGGGTGTCCTGGCCCAGGCATGCAGAGTCCAGCAAAGACCCAGGGCTCCCTGGCCTCCTGGAGGGCCTTGCACCTCCAGTTGCTAAGAAGAGGTGGAGGCCATCTACAGTTAGACCCAGCTCTGCCCCAACAGTCATGTGATCATGTCCCCCTCCCTTTTCTTCACTGGGCTGGTTTCCCCATTTGTAAAGTGAGGGCTAAGGGCCAGCTAATCTCTGAGGTTCATTTTAGCTTGGAAGTAGAAGAATTAATATTTCCCAGTTCCTCCCTTATGAAGATGAGAATGGCAGGGCCGATCTTGCCTGATGTAGCGGGCATATCCAATGGTGAGTTCATCAGAAATTCCATTTGGACTAAATCAGCTCTTGAAACCCATCAGGCCAGAGTCCCATAACGTATAGAAAGGGAGCACTGCTGGATCTCAAAACCCCCAACAAAAGAACACCCACCAACTTTCTGAAGTGCATTTCATGCTCCGAGCTGGGAAGTGCTTGCCACTACCTAGCCTGTGTCTCGCTAGCTTTGACTCAAATCTCCTAATTCCATAGTCAACAGAACTAAGACTAAATATCAGATTTAGTGGTTTATCATGTGCATTTTAGTTGTGACAAAATAATAGTCTTTATTCATCTATATATATAAAAGCCTAAGCAACTGAACAACCGAACGACCAGTCGACAGGTCGCTATGACACGCACTGACCACCAGGGGGCAGACGCTCAATGTAGGAGTTGGGTGCCAGATGCTGGGCTCACTGCTGGCGAGCCTCTCCCGCCTCCACAGCAGGGCTACTGAGCAGTAGCAG